GTTCCCTGACTTAGATCAGCCCAAAGGTTGTTTCAGGGTTTGATCTGTGAGTTAGCTGTGCCCTAAGATCAGCCCAGAGGTAGCTTGTTTCAGGTTAAAACATTATTTTAAGCACTTGTGCCATCTTTATTAAACTTACCTTGGACAAATAAAAAGGCTGACTGTTCAATAGTTTTTCCTCCACCTGAGACAATACAAAGATACTCCCCGCCATCTTGTGCACGGACGGACGGTATTTTCAGATTACTGCTCCCCTTGTTTGCAGAAGTGGCGTCAAATGCCTGGTGTGAACTGACCACCTTTTTCCATTGTACGCTTGGGACTGGTACGCCAGTAGCAATACATTCCATTATGACTAGATGACCAGTGACAACTGAAGTGTTTCTCGGCATAATGGCAAAATGGGGCGTGTCCTTTACTGGAGCGATGACTAAAATAGACCAAAAAKTTAATATTTAGTTTTATTGTTATTGTCAAAGGTACAACAGTATTGATGTCATGTGAAAACCCTCAATTGATGATGCTACTCTTCCCAGTAGACCGAGGTAGTTGTGATTGTTTAATCGCCTTCGTAGCGTCTGTTATGTTATCCGCAAGCACATTTCAAATCAACCACGTGATGCCAATGTTGTACCACGAGGACAAGTTTTTTACAACACGTGATCAAAATTCAGACAAGTTTTAATCACGTGGTGTAAAAAACTTGTCCTCGTGGTACAGCATTGGCATCACATGGTCGATTTGAAATGTACTTGCGGATAACATAACAGACGCTACGAAGGCAATTAAAAAAACACAACTACCTCGGTCTACTGGGAAGAGTAGTTCATGCATCTTAATTAAGTTTTCTTGGCCAAACAAATTATACATACCATGTGTTTTAACTTTTTTCGAATTCAGAGAAAAAATAATTTAAAAAAAAAAAATCTACGTAATTTCCTTTTTTTAGAAGTTTAACTATACTAAGTTAGGACAGTCAAACCATTTCTTAGAAGTCATAGCTCAAATAAGGCAAATGGTCATTGCAGGTAATTCATCATCGTCATTATCATCATCATTATCATCATCAAGGCTTAAAATAATGCCCCCCCCCCCCCAAAAACAACTCAAGAAGAATAGAGTGAAAAATAAGATAAATTTCCAGATTGCTTACACTTCCACTAATTTCATGAAACATACGATACTCTGGAGCTGCGAGCTGTACACTAAAATTTGGGCTTTTGCTGCCGTCAATCAAAACCAATTAGTCGGTACAGTACCTTTCTTATTTTTTTACTGACAGCAAATTTCCGAGAGCAGCTTGCAGCTACCTATACTAGTTTGCATGTTTATAAAAATGGCAGTATGATGATTTAGTCCAAAAGGTTCTAAATACATACCTGACTTAACAGTCAGCCATCCTGTATTACTTTTTCTCTTCTTCGCAATATTTTGAGCTATACATGTATAACCTCCTTCATCTGATTTCGTCACATTTATGATCTGCAGAACACCATTGGGTAGAACCACGTATCTTCCACCAGGGGTCAAGGGTTGTCCATTTCTTTCCCATCTTATTGTAGGTTCTGGTAGGGCACGTTTCGTTTGACAGGCATATCTTGCCGTAGACCCCTCCCACAATGTTATGTTCTTTGGATATTCTTTGAACTTGCGAGAAAGCACTGAAATTTTAATATTAAAGGATATTAATATTATCTGGCACAAATAAACCAATCACTGTACCCTTATCACCAAATTGTAACATGTGTAAATATATTTTAAACACAGGGTACTATATAGGTACTACAGGTATTATGTTCATAGGGTATAAATGAAACATATTTCAAACAACATATTTTTATTCAACTTATATCACAACTGAAAAAGGAGCTTACACTCTGAAAAAGTTTACATTTACTTCATAGTCTGGAGCTGAATTTCAAAACATGCCACATTGCTCAACACACCTTACAGAAAAGGTTTGACACTTGATTCTTATAGAACGATATCTGCTTTTTCAYATAAGATACTTTGTACAGTCAAATTAAGGTATATAGGTTTTGAAGCAAGGTTTAACATTTTACTGGCTTATGAAGAGATAATAGATATTTTTRCAACCTGAACATGTTTTTAACATTTCATACTTCTATTCTGTAAGGGATATAATATACACCTTGGATGTCGATTAGAAATGTTTTACTATACTTCGATAGCATACACCTTTCCTTTAATTTTTTTAAAAATATTTTTTTACTTCTTTACTCTTCACAACATGCATGTATGTTATATTTGTTATCAACATTCTTATAATTTATATTAATTTTTTTCAAAAAAATCTAAAAGACAGAAAAAAGGAAATGTTATTCATTTTTTGATTTATTTTTTCTCTGAATTCAAAAAAGTTAAAACACATGGCATGTATAAATTTATTTGGCAAAGAAAACTTAACTATATAATTAAGATGCAATTAAATCATGAATATCCAGAGTGTTTACACATGACGTCACTGCACCATATTGGTGTACCTTTAACAATAACTGGCATTAGTATCTTTTGTTAGGAACACCAATCTTGCCATCATATGTCTATTGTTGGCAAACTCTTTAGGGACTAAAGTGTGAAAAAACATGTTTATTTGTTGTGTGTGTGTGTTTTGTTTTGTTTTTGCCCTTTTGTTAGGAACACCAATCTTGCCATCATATGTCTAATGATGGCAAACTCTTTAGGGACTAAAGTGTGAAAAAACATGTTTATTTGTTGTGTGTGTGTGTGTTTTGTTTCGTTTTTGCCCTTTTGTTAGGAACACCGCAATCTTGCCATCATGTCTAATGTTGGCAAACTCTTTAGGGACTAAAGTGTGAAAAAACAGGTCTAAATGTTTGGTGTGTGTTTTGTTTTTGTTTTTGTTTTTGCTTTTTCTTTCTTTCTTTTTTTTCTTTTTTGCCTCTAAATTTAGCAGAGCTAAGTCATGAGTAGTAACAAAGTCAAGAAACTTAAACTCAAACCATTATTTCATTATATCTAGTTTTCYTCTCTCCATAAAACAAATGACATTGAATTAAATCTGTGCCCTGCATTAGATCAGCCCAGAATTCAAATCGAAAATAAAATTGAATAAAATCAAAAAAGACAATTGTTATTTGCTACACATGTCATTAATACCATATATCAATGTTAAATATGCATTAAACAGCAGGTAGGTGTTAAATAAAGGCAATGAGTTGAATCAACTGTTAGTTTAAACACCTACAATACAACACTATACGCTATGACAGGACTTATTCAATACAACAACAGCTGGTCATTCACCAGCCATGATGACTGCCTAAATTAGTCATTTCTGGCTCATTGTTRCCGGTCAAAATGACAGGCAACGCAAAGAATTCATGGGACAAGTCTCCAATTTTGGGCGGACATTGTCCAATGTCAGGCCGTTATTTTATAAGCCCTGGCATATAAACATGCTGTTTGCTTTCTTGTCTTAGCATTAGCTGCCATTTATAACTCGAATGACATAGAGTATTAATAAATTTGTTAACTATAAATATATAGTTTGATCAAGTCAGCTTATAAATAATGCAAAAGTGAAGGTTGTTGAAAATAGACCCATTTGGCCATGGTTTGGTAAGAATTTCCCTACTGATCAGATTTAAAGATTTGCTAGCAATAATTCCAAGGTGACTGCCTATTTTAGAACGTTCAATTTGAGCCTACCATCGACTGTGAGCACTAAAACCACGGAATAATCTTCAACGTCTTTATCGAAGAACTATACCTGACTTGAACTTCAAGAGGGCAAAACCCTCAAATTTTGCAAAAGACTTGCTATGCTTTCYATAAGAAGATATAACTAGCTAAAAACTAGTGCGAGCTGCGTCGGTGTTTCTAATGAAACAGTAATGATAAAAAGGTAAATCATACACCGTGAAAAGATGAAAAAACTTACTGACGTTTCGACGAAGGACTAGCGTCCGTAAGTAAGTAAAAACTAAATGTTACTAAATGAATCATAAGTTGCTTATGTTGTTGATGACAGGAACAATGATGATGGTGATGATAATGATGATTATAATGGTGATAATGATCATGATGAGGATGATGTTGGGGTGATGATGATGACAATGATGATGATGATGATGATAATGGTGACTAGCGTCTGAAACATCAGTAAATTTTTTCATCTTTTCGCGGTGTGTAATTTACCTTTTTATGCTTTCCATAAGCTTAATTTTTTTAAACGCGTCTAAAAATCTAGGTTACATGATTTTTTTTTTTAAAAGTTAATTTTTCTAATGCACCAAAAAATTGATTTTCATAGGAATTTTTTGTTGACTTTAAGACGAGAGCACTAAAAGGGCGAAATATAACAAATCAAAACCACCTTTTCCTTTTTGTCAAAAATATCCATGTGGTATTGTAGGRTGATTGACTAGCTGACATTTGTGCAATATTATACTAGTCTGCAAAGAACTATTATCTTATAAGTTGTTATTTTCTTTCTGCTCACTAGATTTTTTGCTTTAAAAACTTGTGTGTAGGCATCCATTAAAATGGTGATTATCTCAAAAACAATCTCAGAACACCCCATTTTTCATTTTGYTGGAAATCAGCATTAATTTCACTTTAAAAAAACTATAGTAAAACATTTCCACCAAAAAAAAGCCAGTCTTTACTTTAATATTTGCAGGGCTGTCAACTTTGCYGGATAAACCGGGAGTCTCCAGATTTTGGGCCGTATCTCCCGGTCTCCAGATTAGAGTATCAAATCTCCCGGATAATCCCCGTTCAAGCTGACCATTTCTTGTGAGACCCRAGTTTCACAACCATAAAATTCCAATTATTTTATGTTGTTTGTGTTATTTTACATCGCTAACAAAATCAAAACATTCCCAATGGATGTTCTTGCAAGCAGGCTATTGTAATAAAAGCGATAATCTGATTGGTCAGAAATAAACCAATCACATCAAATGTTACAAAGTGAAAGACATCTTTTCACGTGCTTTTTGACCTGCTGTGACGTCATATCCCTTCCCTATCAATTCTCCAGATTTGAATATCTCGGGGGTTGACAGCCCTGTATTTGTTTCTTGAAAGGCATTTTTTGTTTCCTGACTTCTTGGATATTTTCCACTATTACCCTAGCTATACTGGAAGAGCTAGTATCTCTCTCCAAAAAATTGGACTACTTACAGAATTAAACATCAGAGATGACACCTCATTAGAAGTAGCCACAAGTTAATAAGAAGTATATAGTCACATATTGTTTTTTCTCTTCTCTTCAATATTGAGCAACAAACCAGTGGATGTTTTAATCACAAAATACAAAAAAAAAAAAAAGACTTACAGTGGGATGTTAAGAGTAGGTCTCTGTAAGACTCAAGCAAAGTGGGAAATGAAATTTTTTGACCACCCTTGAAATTTGGTGTGTGAGTAGGC